GAGGTGAGGCCGAGAGGCCGAGAGAATAAAGTTAGACAAGTTAGACGGCTGGCCCGCAATAACAGGCCCAAGACCGTCGGAGTGGCTCAGGCGGAAATGTTCAGGCTGTCGCAGTGCCCCCCCGCTGCCCCTCGGCTGCGGGGGGGGAAGCCTGTGACAGCAGGCGTTCAGCACGAGCTCGAGCATCTGCGCGATCAGGATCTGCCGCAACGCTGCCCCCTGGAGCCTCGGCCTGGGGGGCAGAGGAGGCTGCCCCAGCAGCAGCCCCGCTGTCGCCCCCGGCGGCGGCGGCGGCAGCAGGAGGAACAGGATCCCCGTCTCCCGCGGCTGGCTCTGCTGCTTCGTCTCCGTCTTGGCGCCTCCTCTTGGCGGCGAGCCTCTCGAGCATCTTCTTCTGGTCTGCCTGGAAGGCTTTGGCCCTGACCAGCGCATCACCAAACAACTTACGAACTGCATCCTGAAGAGACTGCTTGAGCTCCTGCGCCCTGCGATTTGCCTCCTCGAGGTCGTCACCCGCAATCTCGTAGTCATGCTGAGGTGCCAGCAGTGAATCGATCGATATCGGGATCTCCTCAGCCTTGCCCTGGATGATGGCCACAATGTCCAAACAAGCGGCAGGAGGCGGGCCTGGGGCCGAAGGAGGTGCGACTTCTTTGTGAAGCTGCTCCACCAGGGCCGTGTGCGCCTCTTCCGCCTGCTTGAGCTCATTCGTGAGGGTCTGAATACGGCTCCGCTGCACAACCAATTCAGCCTCCATCTTCTCATAGACATTGCAGGCCTTGTCGGTGCGCTCACGAAGCTGGCGAAGGTCATGGAACGCCTTGTTGACCTTGGCCTGCAGCGGAACAGCGGGGGCTGCGGCAGCACGGCGCTTCTGGTCCAGGATGGACTGGTGCTTCCTCGCCCCCATCGTGTCACCGCACTTCGTGAGCATATCCACCAAATTCTCCAACTCGGGAATGGAGGTGTTGCCGTGATCAACGGGCTGAGGCGCACCCCAGCCGTGGCCAGCACCGCCTCCGCCGCCGACACGACCTGCATTCGAATCGAACTGAGGTCCAGTGCGTAGCGGAAGGCCAGGCCAGCCGCTGTGTCCTCCCGCCCCGCCCGAGTGCCAACTGCCTCCCCACGAGGGGGGGGGCATACGTGCCGGGGTCGGATGAAGCACGGTACGTCTTGCAATGCTTGCAGAACCACCACGACCGTTTGTTACGCTTGCAACCGCAACTGCCACATGTCCACGTCTTCCCGTTAGCCGAGAATGCGGTCCAAGCGGCGTCGTCGTCAGCAGGAGCAGCTGCAGAGCACCTCCAAGGAGCCACAGCACTGGAAGCAGGCGCCATGGCTGAGGCGGTGAAGGAATCGTGAGACCTTGCTTTAACCTCCAGACGGAGGCTCTCAAGCCTGCACACAAATGGTAACAGCACAAGGTGATCTGGTTCAGCAGAAGCTTGGGCCAGAAGGGCTTGAGTGCCCGGAGCAATGTAGTTCGCGGTGAGCGTATGATTCCCACCAGCCCTTTGGGCGTGAGTGGTTTAGCGAGCTCTCTCTGTCCTCAACCCCCCTTCTTCCCCTTCGGGGAGGGGTTTACCCCTCCCCCTACCCCCTCCCCCCCTGGGCCTGGAGAGGGCGCCTCGCGGGTCGTCAGGGGGGTCATTTTCGACTCCTGGGAGGGCTAAAAAACGAACCCCTCACGAGGATTCTGGCCCCGACGGGGGGAGGCAGAAAAAACCCTCTCCTCTTCTTTGAAGCCAAAATCATTGATTTTACTACGGTTTTGGCCCCATTTTGGCCTTCTGAGGGGGCAGCGCTAATTAAAGCTCCCCTCTTCTTTCAAGCCAAAATCATTGATTTTACGAAGGTTTTGGCCTCATTTTGCCCTTCTGAGGGGGCAGCGCTAATTAAAGCTCCCCTCTTCTTTGATCGATTCCCTCCAAGATGGTCCCCAGAAGCGCCCAGGAGGCACCAAGAGGCCCCAAGATGGCCCCAAGAGGCCCCCAGGAGGCCCCCAGGAGGCGTCCAAGAGGCCCCCAAGATGCCCCCAAGAGGCCCCCAAGAGGCCCCAAGAGGCTCCCCCGAGGCACCCAAGACGCTCCTGGAAGCCCCTGGGGCCGCCAAAAGGCCCCCAAGACGCCCCAAACGGCCTCCAAGAGGCTCCCAAGAGGCCCGAAGAGGCTCCCCCAAGGCACCCCAGACGCTCCTAGAAGCCCCTGGGGCCGCCAAGACGCCCCCAAGACGCCCCAAAACGGGACGAGGGCCCGAACGACTCACACCACGAGGAGCCCGAACGACTCACACCAGGAGGAGGGGCCCGAACGACTCACACCAGGACGAGCGCCCGAACGACTCACACCAGGACAGCCCGAACGACTCACACCACGAGAGGGCCCCGAACGACTCACACCACGAGGAGCCCGAACGAGTCACACCAGGAGGAGGGGCCCGAACGACTCACACCAGGACGAGGGGCCCGAACAACTCACACCACGAGAAGCCCGAACGACTCACACCAGGACGAAGAGCCCGAACGACTCACACCACGAAGAGCCCGAACGACTCACACCAGGAAGAAGGGCCCGAACGACTCACACCAGGACGAGAAACCCCAAACGACTCAAACCACGAGGAGCGCTTTCTCTCCCTCCTCCTCCGCCTCCTCCTTCTCCCGCTCCCACCACAAGGAGGATGTACAAGGAGGCGGGAGGAAAGAGGAACAGGGGAGATATGCGGGGCCAAGCGGACACACGCCTGACAAACACGACTGTCGGCATGCTTCGCAAGAGTTGCTGTTGTGAGATGGGCTGGTGGGGATACGCGAAGCGTAAAGAATTTGTTGCCCTCCAGCCGCCCGCCAGGTCAAAGATTCGGCTTGCAGTGGAAATCGGTCCGTGTGCAGCAAATTCCAATAGTTTCTACTCCTATTGTGCGCTGCGAGCCCATATCATCAGCTGCTCGCATTGCTGCCGTAGTGAATGATGATCTGTTTGCTCGGCACGTGCGTAGGTGGGTGCAGCCGGGGCCTCTGCCCACTCACCCGCCACCCACGCGCACCCCAGCCGATCCTGATGCGGTTCTGGCTGCGAGTATCGCGGCCTCCCGATTGGTCTGTCCGGAGCCCCCTCCCTAGGAGGAGGCTCGACTGATCAGCAAATGGCCCTGCCACGTTTCTTCCCCCCGGCATAGCGCGATGACAATCGCGTCGGTGCCTCGCGTGGGTGCGAAGATAACGACCCTTCTTCCCCCACTGTACTGCCTAGGAGATGTGGTCCTAGCCTTTCCTCCTTCCTAGTATTGCAGGGTGAAGTCGTGAGCATGCAGCATGTGTCCCAGACGTCGTGTTGCCCACTCCTTCCCCATCCTGATCAGCGAGTGTCTCGCGTGGTCGACGTGCTGTGCTGTCACACGCGTCCATGATAGATGGGCGGAGGGATTGGAGGGTGGTGTTTAGGTCTCCTGGTCGGGGCGAGGGTTGCACTGAGGCGTTGGTGCAAGCACGGGCCGCAGGTCGAGCGCGCGAATATCGTGCACTCCCGCTGGCCCCTGCCCTGCACCAGCCCACGTAGCTGGCTGTCGGCCCTCCGCAGGCCATCTCACCTGCTCCCCTCTTTGATATGCCTCCTCTTGCCTCCTCCCTCCTCCTGCGGTGTTGTGATGCGCCCTGAGCGCCTTCAGACGATGAATGGGGGGTGGTAGGACAGGACAGCCCGAGATATCGCCCCCGACACCGCAGAGCGCGGCACGGCCGCAGCCGTCCGCCCAATCGGCCTGGTCCGCCACGGCGCCGCGCACCGCCGCTTCCACCAGAAAAGTCGCTGCGCCCAGCGTCGAAGATCCACTGGGCGTCGCCACCCCGCCCGCGGAGGAGGAGGAGGAGGAGGAGGAGGAGGAGGACAGATGCAGTGCACCCGCTGGAGCCAAAATGAAAAGGAGGAGGAGGAGGAGGAGCATTGCAAAGCCACGACGAGTCAACGATGCCGCAGCAAACCCTCCCTCCAGGTCTCCTCTTCACATGTCCCTGCAACATGTGCTGTCATTGCGGGAAGTGCCCCATTGGAAGACAACTGCCTGATAATCCTCAGTCGTGCAAAAATGTGCAAAAACAAAAAACGCGATTCCTGCGACTTCAACGCCGCGGATGAACGTGACTATTGCGCCCTGGCAATCCTAAATCGCGCCAGAACGCCTCCTGAATCTGCAGCCATACGAATCCCTGCAACCGTTGTGAACGTTTAAGGCAAATGTGCGCGGCGCTGAGGCGAGAGCCACATGTTGAGAAAGGAACCACCCTCCACTCTTAGTTTTGAAGTCAATGTGCGCGGCGCTGAGGCGAGAGCCGCATGTTGACAATCGCCCGCCCTGAATTCATGAAACTGTTGCAAACTTTGGGGCAACTGCGCGCGGCGCTAAGGCAAGAGCCACATCTTGAAAACGGCCTGCCATCCATCCTTGAAGCTGATGCACGCTTTTCAAACGAATGCGCGCGGCGCTAAGCCGAGAGCCACAACGGCCACAGCCGTGGAACTGTTGCAAATGCCCAGCTCCAGGATCAGACATGGTGAGGACGTCTCCAGCAAAACACCATTCCTGGGACTTCGACACCGCGAATCAGCGTGACGGTCGCGTCCTGACGACCCTAAATCGCACCAGAACGCCATTCCTGGCATTTCAACCATAAGAGCCCTTCGGACCGTTGGAGGAGTAGAAGGCAGAAAATCCACCCCGATAGTAACCACGCCGACACGCGAAGCCGTTTAGTAAACGCACCCAGAGAAGGAATCAAACAGGGTAGGGCTTTTCAGTACACGCCCAAGGCCGTTTAGTAAACGCCAATTGTCCAGTCTGGGTGGTTTTTCCTCCCTTGGAGGAGGGAGAGGAGGAGAGGAAGGTGAAGGAGATGAACGAGCAACCGCAAAGTCAAAGGCCCTCCCGGCGGCCGGCTGGCTCCTGCTGCAGAACCGCGAGCAGCTCCGCCTCCGCTTGGCGCGCCTGGCCTGTCTGGCTCAGGGCCACGGCGCGCACCACGCGGGCGGCCGCCATGTTGGGCACGAGCTCCTCCAGAAAAGGGGGGGGGGGGCGATCCACCCCCCTCCGAATCCTCCTCGTCCTCGTCCTCGTGCCATGTGCGAAGATGCGTGGCAGGTGCATGGGCCCTGGAGCCAGGGCGACACATCGCGAACAACTCCGCCCCTTGTCTGCAAGCAATTTACCGCGACGCCGCGCCGGTCGGCCGATGCTGAATCTGTGCGCCCCTGGGAATCCTGCGGGACGACGAAATACGGTTATGAGCGCTGTGGTAACAGCCCCTGATGGTCCCAGAGGGCCGAGGGCAGGCAGCGAGGGAGCCTACAGTGGAGGCCAGTCCACAAGAAGCCTTCCACAAGAAACCCAACCCCGAGACCCCAGGACGTCCATCGATTGTTTGGTGTGGGAGCGTCTCGCCTTCATCAAAAAACCATCGGAACCCAAGAAACCCAGGGCACCCTGGAGGCAAGCAGGGTGTTTCTTGGCATGGGCCCCCACTTTAAGGTGGCCACCCCTTCCATCGCCCCTCCGACGGCCGATCGGTAGAAGCAGCTGTGCTAAGATGCCACGGGCTGATTGCCTCCTCGTACTCCTGGTCCTCGTGCTCTACCCCTTGCTTCAAAGATAACCTGTCCCTGTCACACCACCATAGAGGCCTCCTAGATGGGTCCGAGTAGATGGGGTCGAAGGATCGCGCCGCATCGCCAATGCATCGCCGATGTATCGGCGATGCATCGGCGATGCACTGGCGACGTCGGCGATGCATCGGCGACGTGGGCGCGGAGAAAATCGGGCTCCGCATCGAGCCGCATCGCCGATGCATCGGCGATGCGGCGCGAACCTGCGACCCCATCTGCTCGGACCCCATCTGGGAGGTCTAGATACCAGACGTGTCGGTAGGGCGGGCGGGGCGCTTCGCCTGAGACGTTCGCACCACTCACGATCCTGAGTGTTGAACATTCCGACGGCTACCAGGATGGAGGGCGGTATGATTTCAAAATATCTCTCGCCTTACTGTCGCGCACATTCGTTGTAGACGCTTGTGGTCGTTGGTGGGGTGGATGGCGGCACATGTGCACATGAACCCAGAGCGACCCCAAACGAGGGTATCCTGTCTCCCACATCATTTCAAAGGAGGTCCGAGCAATGCGAAGCATTGCTTGGCATTGCTTTGCGCTGCTCGGCATTGCTTGGAATTTCTTGTCATTGCTTTGCGCTGCTTGGTATTGCTTGGTGTTGCTTGACACTGGCTCTGCAGTGCGAGGAGCTGCTTGGCGCTGCGTGGCATTGGCTTGGCACTGCTTGGCACAGCTTAGGCCATCGAGCACCCCGTCCGCAGCCCTGGGCGAGCAACCGGGCGAGGCCGGGCCCCGCCTCTGACGAAGGGCGTCGCAACCCTCCCGTCTCCTTGCAGCATCAAGTGTGTGAGGGCCCCTCGGGCAGGCCCAATTGGGGGAACGGGGCCGTCCGACGTGGAAACGCAGCCCCCCCCCCCCTCCCTCCCCTCCTTCCCTTCTGCCTGCTCCTCGTTGTGCCCTGCCGACCGCCGAGGGCGCCCCGCCGAGGCGGCCGGGGCCGCCGCCTGGCCCGCCACCGACGGCCCCAGCGATGGCGGCCGAATGCGGCACCTGCGCTCCAGTGGCGCGCCTCGTGGCCCCACGGGGATCGCCAACGAAGGCCCCAATGGGCAGCGGTCGCAAGCGGGTACGTGGGCACGGCGCGCCACTCACGCGATTCGTGGCCTCATGGGGCTCCACCGAAGGCCCCAGCGGCAGGGTTCGTACGCGTCCCTGCCCCTCATTTCGGCTCGCCCATCACACGCTTCGTGGCCCCATGGGAAGCTCCACAATGTTTACCCAAAAATGATTTCGAGCACCCAGAAAGTATCGAAGCAGTGTCGAGCGAATGTCGCCTCCCAGGGCCCAACACGTGCGAACCCTCCAGATTCGGCGTTTCCTTCGTGCTCTAAACTATTTCGGGTGATCAAGGCTGAAGTATGTTGGAACATCATGACACAAAAGGCCCAGGTAGCAGGATCCGCATGCCACTACCGCGCCCATGTTTTGCACACTCCTCGCACGCTTCGTGGCCCCATGGGGAGCTGCACCGAACGACTCAGTGGCGTTCGCGCGACGCCGCTCCGCCAGGATCTGCGCGCCAGACTGTCATTTTGCTCGCCGCTCTTCGTTTTCTCACTTGCCTTGAAGCTCTCGTAGCTGCCCATGGTTTGGTCCTTCGCCAAGATCACACCAGCCCTTTAGGTCGTAGGTGGTTTATGTCGTTTCCTCCTCCACTTCTTCCACATCCGGGAGGGGTGCATCACTGCTCCTCAGTACAATCAACCCGTATGATACGGACGCACGACAAGGATGCAATGACCGTGGAAGGCCTTGGCGACACTTTGCGAACGGGGCGCGGCCAGCGAAACCAGCCAAGGATGGGCCGAAAGGGAAGGATGCATGGGTAACCTTGGAAACTCGTTCATCCTGACTACGCGGGTTGACCGTAATATACACCCCCTCCACCACCCGACCGGTGACAAACCTGGGCCAATGCCGACCACCCTCCGCCAATTCCTGCAACAGAAACATACAAAATATACTGTGCACCAAAATCTTGATCATGCGCGGACGCCCCATCAATTTGCATTGGTTGTTGACAAGGACGGCCGGGGGGCGGCATGTCGCTTGCTATGTACAATGCCAGCATCTGGATCATGCGCGGTCGCCCCGCAATGACTTTGCAGGAGTTTTTCCCGGAAAGGGCGTGGGCCCAGGGTTCTCTTTTAGTTTGTAAACTTAATCCCCCGGTGCCAACTTGAAGGAGGCCGGCGAATTGCCGGCGAATTTTTTCCCTGATAAATAACGAGGTTGAAGGAGGCCGGCGAATTGCCGGCGAATTGAAATTTGAGGATGTCTCGAGCGAAACGCTTGTTTTTGAAATCCCGATCGATAAATCACAGGGTGCGGGCCACTTTTTCGTGTGTTGAGGATGTCTCGAGCGAAACGCTTGCTCCGCAGAGTTTGCCGAGGATGTCTCGAGCGAAACGCTTGTTTTGCAGAGCCGACCGCGACGCGGAAAAGCGCCCCGCGCGAAGGAATTTCGATGATGTCTCGACTAATTCCTTTGTTTTTGTACGATTTCCTGGAATTTTGGCAGGATGTCTCGAGCGAAATGCACGACCCCACCCTAGCACGACCATACCCCAGCACGACCACACCCCAGCACGACCAGACCCCAGCACGACCCCACCCCAGCACGACCCCACCCCAGCACGACCATACCCCAGCACGACCACACCCCAGCACGACCCGACCCCAGCACGACCCTACCCCAGCAAGACCACACCCCAGCACGACCACACCCCAGCACGACCTCACCACAGCACGACCACGCCCCAGCACCACCCCAGCACGACCCCACCCCAGCACGACCACCCCCCAGCACGACCACACCCCAGCACGACACCCCAGCACGCACGACCACACCCCAGCACGACCACACCCCAGCACGCCACCCCAGCACGACCACCCCAGCACGACCACCCCAGCACGACCACACCCCAGCACGAACACACCCAGCACGACCACACCCCAGCACGACCACACCCCAGCACACCCCCAGCACGACCACACCCCAGCACGACCCACCCCAGCACGACCCCACCCCAGCAAGACCACACCCCAGCACGACCACACCCCAGCACGACCTCACCACAGCACGACCACACCCCAGCACGACCACGCCCCAGCACGACCACGCCCCAGCACGACCACGCCCCAGCACGACCACCCCCCAGCACGACCACCCCCCCAGCACGACCACCCCCCAGCACGACCCCCCCAGCACGACCACACCCCAGCACGACCACTCCCCAGCACGACCACACCGCCTTGGTTGAGTGGTTGCCTGTCGTCGTGGAATGTTTCGTGGGGTGTCTCGTGGAATGTTTCGCGGGGTGTCTCGTGGAATGTTTCGTGAGGTGTCTCGTGGAATGTTTCGTGAGGTGTCTCGTGGGATGTTTCGTGAAGTGTCTCGTGGGATGTTTCGTGAGGTGTTGTCCAGTTGGGTATCGTGAAAACGTGTCCATGCTCCACATGTCTATATCCCTTTCCGGGTTCGTGGGTCCATCATGTTGACGAAGACGGCGGGGGGGGCTGGCATATTGCTTGGCGCGTGCAAGCACACCGCCCGCTTCAACAAAAAAGGCAAAGCTCATTTTGCCAGAAGCGGCGGCAGGGGCGGCATACCGCCTACTGTGTGCAGGCATCCGACTTCTGGCAACAGCACGTGCAAAATGATTGCGGGTGCACGCCCGCACTTTTTCAGTCCGCGGGCGCCAAGCGGCCAAATGCAGTCAGACGCCGGTCAACAAGTGGCGGGGCGCACCGGGAGCGAATGGAGGCACGAAGGCTGAAAGAAAAGCGCGCAAAGGGGGAAGAGGGCAGGGCCCGCTCAGACCATGAAAGCTGGCGCGAGGATGCCGTAGTATATCGTGCCTGTGAGCTGCGCGCGAGCAGCGGGGGCCGAGGCCAGCTTGATGTGGAAGGCCTTGAAGAGGTACAGGGCGCCGAGATGAGTGGCCGCGGGGCGGGGACAGACTGGCAGGGAAGGCGCACGCGTCAAAGTCGCGACACAGCGGAACGGAGCCGAAAGCCATGTAGAGAAGAGCCTTGACGTGTGAAAGTGATGAAGTGGCCACACTTTATACTTGAGCGGGTGCAGGAAGGCCCGACACTGGGTGGGCCCAGGGGCTCAGAGCAGAGCCGAAGCAAAACTGACCAGACAGACGCACCGGCTGAAAGGCCGAATGGCGACGGTCAGGAAGACGCAGAAGCCGCCGCGAGGCGGCGGAGGATGGCGAAGACAACGATGGCAGAACCACTTCCCCTTTCTCAGGATCTGATTCCCTTGCCGAGCAGCGCCAGGAAGACCCTGCGGGGGCAGCTCAGAGGCAGCGACCAGGACTGGCGAGACAGGGCGCTGTGCGGGAAGGGAGCCCAGGAGGGCGGAAACCCGACCAGCGCGGG